AGCGATAGCTATATATAGCGATAGCTATATAATATAGTATATATAGCTATATTATAATATACCTATATAGCTTTTTATGTACATGCAAATTTTAAAATTTGTCTGGTTTTAGACATTTACCGTTCTTCAACATATTTTAAAAGGTTTCAATTTTAAAATAAAGTCAAGTCATTTGAAATAATTGTAACGCTAATAATTATTTCTAATTTGCTGATAATATAACCTATGATAATACCACGCAAAGCAGACTGAGTATGCGGCGCAGAGCACAGTCAATATGCGCAGACTGCGTCTCAGACAACGCATAGCGAAAAGGTGCGGGGAGAAACGATTCGTATGAGTTCACGGCCTCGTTGGAACAGGAGGGTATTCAGGAATTTAATAAATCGTATAAACATTTAAATAATATTATTTATTGATTTATTTATTTCATTTCATGCCTCAATTTTTTTTAACATGTAGGTAATATGTTTTTTGCTTAGGCACGTCGAAGCCAATCGGGGGCCCCCCCTATCCGGGGGCCCCGTATCATTGATACGGCTGATACCGCGGTAGCTACGCCCCTAATAATGGCCTAAATAATGCGATTTTCTAGAATTTTAAAATTTCAAGCAATTTTTTTTGGAAACCGTATGCCAAATGGGTCAATTGTAAGTTTTATTTTGTATTTGGTATGTAAACTTTATATATGAAAAAAATTAACTGTTCATATTAAACAGCCGAGAAATAGGACGCATTTAAAAAACACGAAAAATTTGTAAAATACACGTGTAATTATTTAGAAATATTGATTGAGTGAATTTATATTTTTTTTTATAAAAACTACTATTTTTTAGCTTTAAAATGACATCTTAAAATTTAAAATATCTTTAATAGAAAAAAATTACAGCTTAAATTATTAAAGTATAAAAATGACTTTTTTAAAAAGTTTTAATTCGATTAGGCCGGATTTGAAAAATGGGAAAAAATAAACAAGGGTGGATTTTGTCTTTTGGGATCCTAATGAATATTTCTATAAAATTTGAGCAAAATCCACAATGGTCGAGCAACGAGTTTCGGCGTTTTCATATGGATTGACTCTAAAGAGGTTTTTGCTGCAGATTTTCTCAGTGTAGTATAGGAAGTAAAATGTAAAAATTAGGTCCATTTCTCTTAAAAATTAAAATTTAGGTAAAATAGGTAAAATAAAATCAGGCTCAAATGAAATCATTTACTTTAAAACGGATTTTATTCCAGTGCACATAAAGTTATGATAAGCGTTAACAAATAGTTAATAACACTTAAATTTCATATCTATAGTCCATTCCATTTAAGAAAAAAGCGTTGAGTTGAATAGGATTTATTATAGACCAATCACGACGCTTAAATTTGTGGGTTTTTTTACACAGGCGAAAATTTAAAACCCATCTCTTTTTAATACGTTGCATGTTGATATACGATGTGTCTCCCGTCCCGAGGCGGGACTTAACTTCGATCCCGACTGACGTCACACACTGTAAATCCGTTTTTATTCCCCGAGCTTTTAAATTTTGTGTCAAGCTGGATGGCTCAGATGGTAGGTCGCTTGGCATGGCCTGATCTATGGCAGATTGCCGATATTTCGCGACCCCCCGGTGCATCACTGACACCGCGGTAGCTTAACCTTCAGAACAATACGCGACGTGGGAGATGTCTGATGATTTAGGGCTTTAGGGTTCTCGACCTTCAAGACATCTCCAACCAGACTTTCAACATCCCCTTCAAATCCAACCATAGTACCATGGTGCTGCAGGTTTTATTTAGAAAAAAAATACATCTCAATGTGCCCTCATGGGCCACAACAGATAATAAATATAAAAATGTACATATAAGTATTTGTATATATATATAAATAAATAATCTATAAATAAATAACACTTAACCTATTTAGTCTCTTAAATTAATTATATATTCTTTAATCGCTTTTTTGAAATCTTTGGTGTTTTGTTCCTTTAATTTCGCCGGCAGCTCATTGTATTGTTTTATTCCCTCATTCATCAGTTGCTTTTGACTACTTTTTGTTTTGGCTCTATCTATTCTTATTTTATCTCTGCTTCTAGTATTGTATTTATGTATTTCTTTTTGTTTGGTTAATTTTATGTCACTGTCGACAATTTCTTTTTTGTTGATCTTATGTATTATTTTTAATGTTTCCAGTTGTTGTAATTCATTAATATTTAAATGCTTTGTTCTTTTATATACTTCTTTAGTTGCTGTATCTTTTTTAATATTATATAGGACCTTAATGATTTTGTTTTGTGCTCTTTTTAATTTATTTATTTCTTTTTTATTAGCTGTTCCCCAAAAAGGTATCATATATGTTAAATTGCTTTGCACATATGCGTCGTATAGCATTTTTTTATGTTTTACTGTTATGTAATCTTTGACTCTATATGCCATGTTTATTTTTGACGAAATTTCCCTTTTTAATTTATTAATGTGGGCTGTCCATGTGAGTTTTTTGTCCAGTATTAGTCCTAGGTATTTGATTTCCTCCACTTTTTCTAATATAGTTCCATTTATTCCAAGGTTGATGTTGTGTTCTTTCACTCTATTTTCTATATGTATGAGGTAGCATTTCTTTTCATTAATTGTCAGTTTGTTTGCGTTTGTCCATTTTTGTATTGTTTTTATGTCTTCTGTTATTTTGTCTTGTACTTCTTGATCTTCTCCCTCGTAGAACATTGCTAAGTCATCAGCATAGATCATGTGTTTCCCATTTAATTTATGCAAGGTTAGGTCGTTTATATATATGAGGTAAAGAAAAGGCCCCAGTATTGACCCTTGTGGTACTCCACAAAGTACTTTTAGATTTGTACTTGTACTTTCACCATTGGTTGTGTGTTGTTTTCTGTCTTTTAAGTAATTTGTAAAAAGTTTTAGCTCTTTATTTTCCACTCCTATATGTTTAAGTTTTTCTATGAGTATGTCTATGTCTACAGTGTCGAATGCTTTTCGATAGTCCATTATTAGCCCAGTTATTGTCTTTCCCTCATCTAGTTTTCTCCGTATATAATGTAACAAATGTAACATCGCTGTGGTTGTGCTTTTTTTTTACTGAAATCCATGTTGGGATTGGGATAGCAATTTTACGTTTTGCACATGAGCTGATAGTCTGTTGTGGATTATGGTTTCAAAAATTTTGCTAAAAACTGTTAGATTTGAGATGAATCTATAGTTATTTGGATCCTTTCTACTCCCTTCCTTGTGTATAGGTGTTAATCTGGCTATTTTTAATTCATCCGGAAACTCTCCCTTTTTTATATGATCATTGATGAGTTTGACTAAGGTCGGCGTTATGATTTCAGCTATTTTTTTTATAAGTGATGGTTTTATTCCGTCATATCCGGGTGATGCATTTTTCTTTAGTTTTTGTATTGCTTTTTTCACCTCAGTGTTGTTTGTTGGGCGTATATATAAAAGAGCTTCTATTGGGTATTCTTTGTTTTCAATTTTTGGCCCATTTACTTTGCTTGCTAAATTTTTTCCTATTTCTGTACAATATTTATTTAGTATTTCCACTATATCTTTTTTATTTTTTACTGTTTTTTTTTTGTCTTTAATTTCTTTTATTTCATTTTTTTTAATTTCATTTGTTCCTTTTTGGATAGCATTTAGTATTTTCCATATTTTTTTGCTATTACCTTCACCTTTATTGATTTGTTCTGCATAGAACATTTTTTTGTTTTTTTTTATTAGTTTTTTAAACATGATCTGTTTGTGTTCATAGTTTAGTTTAAGCTGTTGACTTTCTTTGTTTTTTATCATTTTTTTGTATGCTGTGTCTCTTTTTTTCTTGCTCCTGAAAACTTCTTTGGTCATCCAGCCTTCATGAAACGATTGTACATATTTTTTCTTTATTTCAACTGTATGTTTGTTTGTTTCTTTTGTTATTATGTCCTGTAGGTCTTTAAAAGTTGTAATAGTGTTCACGTTAATTACTCTTTTTAGTTCATCTTTTAATTTTATTAAGTTCGTTTTCTTGTTTGTGTAGTATTTATTTTGTTTCTTTTCTTCTCTTATTTTAAAGTTCAATTCTATTTTTTTATGATCACTTAGTGGTGTATCTTTGAGTATAATTTCCTTATTTTCAAGATCAGTGTTTGTTATTATGTGATCTATTATAGAGTGCCTTCCAGTAATTTTGTTTAATCTGGTACAGTGTTTTTTATTTATTTTATTAATGATTTTGTAGTTTTTTTCCTTTAATAAATTGATATATTCATTTGTTGTTTGGTCTGGTTCCAGTATGTTTATGTTTAAATCACCCATTATTATTGTTTTTTGTTTATCCTTTAATATATTATTGTCTATATATTCCATAAATTGCTCCCTATCTCTTTTCTTAGGTTGTCTATAGATTGCATACAATATTATGTTTATTTTGTTTATTTTGATTCCAAGAATGTTGTTTTTATTTAGATGATTTGTTTTTTCTATCATTGTTGTGTTTAATGTGTTTTGTGTATAGATTGCTACGCCACCTCCTTTACTGTTTCTGCAACTAAATGCACTATTATAGTTTTGAATATTGAAATATTTTATTTCATTCTCCTTTAAGTGTGTTTCTGTGAGTATTAATATGTTTGGCTTTTGTTCTTTTAACATTATTTTTATTTCATTTGTTTTGTTTTTTAATGATCTTATATTTAAGTATAATATTTTAAAGACCTTGTTATTTGTCATTAGTGGTTTTTTTCTTTTAATCTCTCTAGTTTTTCTTCGTTGTCGATTTCTTCGATTTTACTTGTTTCATCTTTTCTCATTAGAATTTTATTTTTATTAAACCACACAAATTTGAAATTTATTTCTTTTTTTAACTCTCTTGCTTTTTTAAACAGGATTTGATTTTCATATGTCAAGTCGTGGTTTAGAAAAATGTCTTCATTGCCATTTTGTCCAATTTCTTCTCTTTTTATTCCTTTTTTAATTTTATAGTTTGAAAGTAAGTTTTCCTTAACTTCCATTGTGGAAAAAACTACCTTTATTATCGGTTTGTTGTTATCCTTTCCTATTCTTTGTATTTTTTCAATGTCTTTAACTTCTATTTTGCTGTTGCACTGCTCTCCGATACTTAAGATTACTTCCTTGTATTTGTTATCATCTTCTTTTGCCAATCCCCCCTTTGCTAGTTTTTCTTGTTTGGTCTTATTTATTTCTGTGTTGCTGTAATTGTTTTCTTTTTTTAATTTTGCTTGCTCTTTTTTTAGTAGTTTTATTTCATTTCTTAGTTGGACATTCTCTTTATTGATATTTTCCATATGCTTCAAAATTTTTTCGTATTTTTCTTCCATCTTGAGTTTATTCATTACATCATTTATTGTGAAAGATTTATTAGATTTCTTTTCAGTATCAGAATCACTTCCTGTTGTTGTTTCTTCTTCCGATGATGAAGATTCAGACATTTCTGCCTCTTGTTCTGATTCTTCTTTACACTGAGTACATTCCCATTCAATTAATTTTGATTTTTTCTTGTCCTCAAGTTTTTCTATTGTTATGTTTGTGCACATTTGATGTGCCCACTTTTCACATTTTATGCATTTTATTTTGTATGCATTTTTTGCCAAAGCTTTATTGCAGACTAAGCACTTTATGCCTTTGGCTTTTGTTTTTTTCTTTTGAACCATTTTAAAGTTCACTTTTATTATATTATTTGGTTGAAAATTATTTTTAACGATCTATAGGTTAAGCTTCTTCTTCTTATTTTTCACTCTTTCTTTATCTTTTGGTTATTTAACAAAATTTTTTAAGGGGGTTTTTTGATTTATTTTTCCCTCGAAAACATTCTTATAAATTCTGAAACTTCAAAAATCTTATTCTGCCAATTTTTCAAGACTTCTTTCTCTTTACCCGGATCCAGCTGGCCTCACATTCACTCTGCGAGAAAAGGCCAGATAAGCTCCATGTCAATAAAAAGAGCTTCGTACAAGGGACAAAGACCCTCGGAAGACTGCGCTGCTACCACCCGTACTGCGCATCTTCACCGCGGGCTTAAGAGGTGGAACCACACTTCCACGCGCCTCTTTACAGCCAACCCCATCACATTGCGGCCTGTACCTATTTACTCTTTTTATATTTTGTAATTATTTAATTGTAAAATAAATTGATTTTGATTTTGCTTGGCATGCGTTTTATTTTTTTATTTTATAAATTTGTTGTTTCTTTCTTAAAAAGTGTTGGGTTGTGTTGGGTAGGGTTGGGTTGGGTTGGTTGGTTTGTTTTAGTTTTATTGTGATATAACAAATCTTAAAATTATGACGTCAATCGGGACTGAACTTAAGTCCCGCCTCGGGACGGGAGCCACAGCATTGCCATGGCTTTTAAAAACAAATTTACTAACAGACATAATAATATTATACATACAATAAACCAGCAAGAGTTCTTATAATATTTAAATTATAAAATTTTATTAGGTATATTAGCTTTTGTCGTCAATTTGTCAAAAATATTTTAAATATAGAAAGAATTTATCTTTTCAAAAGGTTGGGTTTATCGCACATTGGCACGTAGCATTCAATTCGATTGCATCAGCTATTATTATACAAAGGAAAAGGATGATGATAACTTACCACCAATTTCTCAGAAAAATTTAAAGAGCTTCAAGTATGAAAAAAGGTGTAGGAATCATTTACTGATTGGTTAGTAATTTGGAGAAGAAAATATATTGATTGATTGGAGTTACCAATTACTGGATCAAAAAATATATTACATGGATGGGACTTGGATCAATGCAGGCCACACAAAGCCGAAGGTGTGAAAAGATAGTAAACTAATGACAGCAAGGGAGGCATTTAATGAGGGGTTATCGACTGGACTAAAAGACCCTTCAGGCAAAGGTAAAAGGCTTATTACCACCCATATTGGCTCAGAAACAGGGTTTGTGGAAGGTGGCTTAAATGTATTTGAATAAAAGTCAACAGGAAATTATCATGAGAATATGAATGAAAATGTTTTTGAGACTTGGATAAAAAATGTTTTGTCTTTGTAAAATTTTGTTTTTTTTTTAATAAAACCTTCATTAATTGCATTTGTATTTTATTTAAGCCTTACTTAAAAAAAACTGGATTTAATTTTTTAAATAACTTTTTAGTGGGGTAAGTAGGGACTTCATGATAGTAGTTACGTAAGTTGTTTAGAATGAATGTAAAAAAAATCCAAATCCAAATTTTTACAATAGCTATTTTATGGATATCGGTTAATTTGTTTAACTCAAATTTAATTATATGTTAAAATATAAATCGATGAATAAATTATAGATTAATTAATTTTATTCGATCAATTTCATTAAATATTCCTTAGCAAATAATGTAAGTAGCAATCGCTTATAACTTAACGTAATAAACCATGAACGATCTGTTTGTTATTTTAGAAAAAATAATAAATTTCATATACTTTGGTTCGTAGATATTATTCGAGTTGGTTCGTTTTAACCGAAAGTTCACTTTACCAGGTTCGTATGCGATTATAACAAGCGGACATAGGTATCCTTTATATTAAAAAATGCACTTTTCAAATCCATGGATGTATACATACATATATGCTTACACTAAAAAAAAAAAATTTTTTTTAATGTATCTTTTATTTTTAATATTTGTTAATATTTAAATTTTTATATTATAAAATCATAAAAATTTATTAAAACATTAAAATATGTACTATTTTCCACATCAAAAAAAATGAACTAACATTTAAATAAGGAATGCAGTTAAATAATTGAGGTTATGTTGCTCAAATTAATGTTTATTTCTTCTTATTTTCTGAAAAAAATATATACATGTATATTTCTTAAAGGTCTTAATTAGTATATAAAATTATTTTTTCATGGTATGGTACAGTTGTATTCTAGAATTAGAATGAGAGAAAACTGTCAAAATAATATTATTGCTTAAAACCGGCTTATCACTGACATAAGTCATTAAAATAATTATTATAGGTTATAAAGAGCATTGACGTCGTAGGTTAATTAAATAATATTACAAAAATTATTACCTTTTAATAATGAAAAAAACAAACATTAAAAAAAATTTAATATTTAGTCATGCATCCCTGTTTTTCTATTACTTGAGCCAATCTATTTGGGATGAACTGAATTAAATTTAATAAACTATTTGGATTAATATCTTCCCAGCAGTATAGTATACTATACTACTATACCTATAGGTATGGTATATTTGTATAGTTTCCCATAAATCCTCAGATATCTCAAAAAAGCAGCATCCTGTTCAGGGGTGGACATTTTGGGACGACCTGAACCAACTTTTTGGTTTAGTAAATATTCCTGTTCCCAGCGTTGCTTAATTTTTAATATAGATTTTTATTTCTATTATACCACAGTACGAATTGACCATTCTTCTTCGATTCTTGATACTATTTGAGCCTTTTTAACTGACGAGGCATTTTTATTTTCTACTGTCAGTTATAGTGACTTAAGTCAGTGGAAAGCCGGTTTTACGCAATAATGTTGACAGTTTTCTCTCATTCTAATTCTTGTACGCTTTTTTAATGAATAGTGGAAAGCCGGTTTTACGCAATAATGTTGACAGTTTTCTCTCATTCTAATTCTTGTACGCTTTTTTAATGAATACCTACAACTGTACATTCAGGGTTGCTATGATTTGTCCATATTTGTTGTAACATATTAATTCTATCAACGACAACCGCCATTATATTTACGCGTACTCCTCGTCACCCTAATAAGTATAACAAGGTTGTATGTTAAAAGTCCGAAAAATTTAAGTTTATGCTTCTACAAGGTTTTATATAATCCATCCTTGATTTACAACTTGAAAATAACTCTATATATATGTATACATATAATATACATTCTATAGAATTATTTTTAAGTGGTTTGTGAAGCGTAGGCCACGTATAATCCTGTAGAAACATAAACTTAAATTTTTCGTTTTTTTTAACATACAACCTTGTTATATTAGGGTGACGTCCTGTGTAAACCTGTCTCGTTTTGCAGCGAATGGAATGGACTATAGTTATTATCTAAGGATTTTTTACAATAATTTACAATAATTTACAATAATTTACAATAATTTACAATTATTATTATCGTTACTTTCCAAAAAAAAAATAATAAAAATACATGGTTTGACTCTTTTTTTAAATAAATAGGAGACGAACAAGAAAAGAATATTTAAGGCGTAGAGATGCAAAACTCACTGCTACATATGGGTAAATATCCCTATCGCCGATACGCGTATACGTAGGTATACCTATAAGATCGTACAAGACATCATGTAGGTATATCTTTTGTTTTCGACGAATCAAATGATTTGACTTTAATACGAAAACTTTTTGTATTAAAGTCAAATTATGTGTTATAAAAAACAAAATTTTCAAATATACGAGTATATACATACATATACATTAGGGTGTCCCTTATTTTTTATTTTTTTACGCATACCCTCTAATTATATTTATTACGTGTTTATATACTCCCAGTAAAAATTTCAGCTCATTCTATAAACGGGAACCCGTGCCGACTTGCATCTGAACCCTCCGTGAGCCAACGTTAGGCGGGCGGTATTTTGTAACACGGTTGGTCGCGAGGTCTTCGATCGTAAGTCATTTTGTGTTTGTTATTATGTGACCCTTAAATTATAAATTATTGACAAATGTTAAAATATAGTTTTATTTATGTGTATACTTTGATAAAAATGTATATTTTCACAGGGAGTAGCTAGTTACCCGGAAGGGTCTAGTGAATATGCCGTAAACTTTGAAATTGATAAACTTCATGGGATTTACTCTAAATAACTAAAAGAGTCTATTGTGAGAGATGACTACCAAAAACTGTCTGAAATATTTTTGGGAGGACATCAAGAAAAGAAATGCTTATAAAAAGCTGAAATTTCATATAACAGTATATTTTAGCAATACTAATTAGTATATTAATATATTTAAGGGATAAAATCAACTAATTTTTTTTTGGTTATTTTTTAGCTGTCATTCAGATATAATAAAAAAAAAGAGTTTCGGGTAATTAGTTTTACGGCCTATTCACCCGAAACTTCCGGGTAACTAGCCACTTCCTGTAAAAATATTCATTTTTATTAAAGTATACACATAAATAAAACTATATATTAACATTTTTTAATAATTTATAATATAAGGGTCACATAATAACAAACACAAAATGACTTACGATCGAAGACCTAGCGGCCAACCGTGTTACAAAATACCGCGCGCTTAACGTTGGCTAATGGAGAGTTCAGATGCAAGTCGGCACGGGTTCCCGTTTATAGAATGAGCTGAAATTTTTACTGGGAGTATATAAACACGTAATAAATATAATTAGAGGGTATGCGTAAAAAAAATAAAAAATAAGGGACACCCTAATATACATATGTAAAGGTTCTGTTGTTTCACCTTAGAATATATTTATTTATTGAGAAGTGGACTGTATTTGTTTCGAGAGAATTAAAAGGCCTTACCTTATGGATCCACTCGGCGTGTTTCGTTGGCTAGCTAGCGTTGACGTTCGTTCCTGTAAGGACCTTTGAATCTCTATTGCACGGGTTCGACCTCACTTATATTCACAGATTTGAAAAGGTTCAGTTGGCACACGATAAGGTGTTTTACTTAAATCACGATTGACTTTAACATTAATTATTTT